GGCCTGGCATGCATTATTCATTTCATACGTTCCTCCAAGAAAACGATGCTAGCATGACCCAACCTAATGCACCATCACAAAGAATATTACCAGTGCTCATTTAAAAGCAGAAATGACTTGTGGGCACATTAGCTTTGACACAGACACACACACACACACACACACATTCCCATTTACCAAAGTATCTTTTCAAAGTTAAAGAAAAAAAAAAAATGAAATGGGAAAGATTGAGGCAGAACTTGAAAATTTGGTTATGTGGCATTAATTGATTGGCATTTTTTCCAATTTACAAGTACTGGGCAAATGAAAGAAGAAGTGAATTAATTTGTCAATTATCTCCCCTGACGATCTCATTTATGACTGCATGCGAGGGGAAATGCGCTATGATGAATAGTTGCAAATGTGTCTTTTATCGGGGAGGCTGTTTAACAGCTTTTTGATTGTGTGTTGGCCTCGGGAGTGAAGATGTGCTGTAAATTGCATCATGATTGGTGGGCCGCTTGCCTGCCTCTCTGGAGTCGGGGAGCATTGCAGCCCAGCGACGGGTGATGTCGATGTACAGGATGTCCGCTGAAGCCATCGAGAAGCTGCTGTTACTCAGCTTGCAGTTCCTAAAGGAGACGCTCGATTAATGTGGTACGTGACACCTGAATGTTGCCTTATTCTGACACTATGGAGGCAGAATCACACTGATTCCATTTCATTTAGCCATAATGATATATGTAATGTGTTTTTGTTACATTTGCATGTATTCATTTTGCAGATGTTGCTTTCAAGGTTTACATTTTACCAGCATGACCCTGGCTTTGCTAATGCCACGCTCTATCAGTTGAGCTACAGGAACTAATGACTTGCCTGATGAAGGTGCGAAAGCTGGTCGGACCCAGTCTCATGGTTCCTTTGACACCAAGGAAGCGCAGGAAAAGGGCAGCGATGCGTTCCACGGCCCGCAAGTACTGAAACTGCTTGGTGTATTTAGGGAAGACTTGCTTTAAACACAAAGATGAAAGAGAATCCGTCATGCCGTCTTTCTCATCACTTCCTGTCTCCACAACAATAGCTTCTTCTGGTGAACCGCCCCCTGTATTTGACCTGCTGGCACAGAAACACACACACATTTTATTATTATTTTTATTTTTATATATGTATATAATATATTTTTACTTGCCCTGCCAATATTTTCAATGGCACCAACATACATACTTTTTTTATATATACATTTATATATTTTCTACAAGTAACTATGAATATTTAAAAAAAACTATAAACTAAGTTACTCTCTCATCCTCTTGTTTCCTTACAGAATATGTATCCTGCTATTGTATAATTTGTCACATTTTAGACAGAAATTTGTGAATTGATTTTGTGATAACAGCATAATGCCTAAAAGAAAATCTGTCAAATAGGAGAATGGAGGACTTCAAACCAAAGGACTAAAAAATCCTCAGTGAATAGCATCACAAACCACAAGCCTTACAATTTTATCTCATTAAATCCATGAAATGAAATGAAATAATGAAAAACAATTATTTAATGATCACAAAACCAACCGAGCGAACTGCAGTCCTCTCATACGTGCACTGAGCCCAGATGGCCGAGGAACCAAAGCAGTTTGTTGTGTGTCGATTATTACTGCAGTTCAGCAGTGGTGCAAGTAACTCTGCACTTTTAGTCCAAGTAGATGTACTTCATGGCTTCTGACCAGAAGGCTGCGGCTTGAGAATTACAGGGTAAAAGTACTAACGATGAGCACTAACGAGATACGACTTAACTAACACACTTAATGGGTTTACCCAAAGACTGCAAGAGTCTTCTCTCTCGCATACAACGTTTAGCACGACTTACACAAATGCATCAACTTTCGTGAGGTGACCATCTTCACAATCTAAAGGTTTTTTTTTCTGTTACACAAACTTAAAGCAACTGTATGTAATTTTTGAGAGTTTGTCATAAATATATCACTGTGCTGTACAAGTATATTTATTGCTGCCATAGAATTTTTCAGAGAATTTTGTAACCGCTCATCAAACTTACATACTCCTAGAAAAGTTGTTTGGGGGGAACTGAGCTTAACTTGTACTGAACTTGGAATATTCCTTTAAGATATCACACCCGTCTCTGTGACTGCCGGAGGCTCTATAAACAGCCAAACAGTGTCGAGGGAGCAGAGTATGCCTAACATATTCATACATGACATAGAATAATATAAACATCAAATTGCCTCAGGTTCATCTCGGCTTACAGAAGCCTCTGGAAACGTGCAAGATGAACTGGTCCAACAAGACACGTGATCGACAGCAATAGAGGAGCAGCACAAATATAACTGGAGAGGCCTGCGAGGAATAGGCTGTCATTATACAACACTAGTGAAGACGTTCTGGCTTCGTAAAGCCTTAGTGACTTTGTACTTGTCAGTATTAGCCGTGACAATTGTACTCAGGACAGAATAGCTTCAAAAAGCATCAAAGGGCTTGAATCAGAAGAGTTTGTGAGCGGTGTTGTTAATTCAGACCGTCATCGCAGTCGCTGAAGGTTTGTTATTTCAGGTTCACTGAAAGGAGGACACGAGATGAAAGAGATCGTGACTGAGTATGAAGAACTTTCTCTCCGAGTGGCCTTAATTTATTTTATTCATTCAATCTTTTGTGCCAATATGAGCTTATGTTTGCTCCTCCATAAGAGACACTCCTACTGTACAGGGGAGATTCTTTATTTGGTTATGTAAATGTATTTCTGACACACTAACTTTCTCCTTATAGGAACTGGCAGTCTGGAGAAAAAGTTTTGGTGAGTATGTTTTTTTACGGTTTCTTACCCCTTGCAGAGTCTGTAAGATGTTTTGCTTTAAAAACAAAATACATTTTTAAGACAAATAAAAGTACACAAATTAACCTAATGAAATTTAACATTTTTTTAAATGTATCATGTGACAGTAAATATATTTATAAAGTTAGTTACAAAATATTTCTATTTCAAATAAATGTTCTTTTGAGCTTTGTATTCATCAAGGAATACTTTGAAAATGTATCTTGGTTTCCAACAAAATATTAGGCAGCACAACTGTTGATAATAGCAAGAAATGTTTTCTGATCAGAATGATTTTTCAAGATTTTACACTTTTTTTGCAAGAATTCCTAATCAAGAACTGAAAACAACAGACACACACAAAGAAAACCTTGATTAAACTGTTTTTCATTTCTCAAGCACCACAAGCCAGTCAACTGTGCTAGATCATTAAAAATGCACATCTAAAGGTTAAATTAGCAGATATTAAACAAAAATGTGCACAGAGAGTCTCTTCTGCTCTGAGTGCACATGCAAGTCTCAATTAAACTCGGAGATGGCTCCACACTTTCCTTAAAGGGGTGCTATTATGCTTTTTCACTTTTTCAACTTTA